CCTAGGAAGTGAATATTTCTTTACTACAGAATTATTCCTATCCAATTAATCCAAGAACAACTGAATATACAAAAAGTCCTATCAGATCATACCAAAAGGCTCATCTAGTCCATCAATCTAGTGCTACAGTGGCCAACTCCCCGGTTCCCCTAAAATAAGACCTAACCTGAAAATATGCCCTATGATTTTTCAGGATGCTCGTAATGTAAGCTCCACCCCCAAAATAAGTCCCACTTGAATGAAACCCTACCCTCCACCATTTTGCAGCAACCAGAAGAAGATGACATGCTGTATTTGAATCAATGTAGATTGTTGTACATGAAAAAATAAAATAAGCCCTAATGCATTTTTGGAGCGAAATTTAATATAAGACCCTGTCTTACTTTGGGGAAAACATGGTAGAAGACTAAGGTCAGCCTATAACTGCAGTGCTGTCTATAACGGCCATTTGCCTTTTTCTTTTTTAACAGAGGATGATCCTGTGTTTAAAGAGCTGAGGACAGCAGCCTGTTATAAAATGTCCTATATTTGAAAAGCATTCTGGATCAATTGCTCTTTAACAACAAATAATTGCAGATTTGACAACAGAGACCTTAACGTTACCCATCCATAGTCATATCTCTACAGCAGACTGAGCAGGTATGCAACTTATATGGTCAGTTTTTCCTGCTATGGTGAGATGTATGATATTTCTATTTAAATGATCATCACCAAGTTTACAGTGCAACACTTCTGGAAGCAAAAGGAGTTGCAGGGATAGTATGGTGAAAACTGTGACCTAATGTGCAACAGCTAAACAACACAACAGCAGTTCATGTTAAAAACATTAGGAAAATAAAGCTTTGAATGTTATACTGTGTTTCCCCAAAAATAAGACAGGGTCTTATATTAATGTTTGCTCCAAAAAACTCATTGTGGCTTATTTTCAGGGGATGTTTTATTTTACAGTCATGTCATTTTCTGGTTGCTGCACCTCCTGGTGGAGGGCAGGGTTTCACTTAACTGGGGCTTATTTTTGGGGTAGGGCTTATATTACGAGCATCCTGAAAAATTATATTGTTTATTTTCAGGTGAGGTCTTATTTTTGGGGAAACAGGTTAGTACATTCATGCATATGAAATTTGTGTATATTGTAGACCTGGAAAAACTTACATTTGGGGTTCTTTCATTTGGAAAATAAGATGAACAAATAGAGGTGTATATGTGGCATACAATTTTGCATGGTGTGAAAAACATGAATAAGCTGTTTTTTCTTACTATCTCATAAAAAATAGAACCTGGGGTCATTCTGGGGAATTAAATGATAGAGCAGGCACAAGGAAATACTCTTTCACATAGGTAAACTATGGACTTTTTTACGAGATATAAAAATACTCACCAAGATGGACAGCTTTGTAGAGGAAATAGCAACTTTGTGAAGGATAAGCGCATCAATGACTACTAGTCATTAGCGGCTGACTGTTTAGGAGACAATAAATGGGATTTTGTTGCTTCTAAATCTGTTTTTAGTAATACTTTTACCTAACATTTTTATTATGTTATTAATTCTTCTTCAATATTTGAATAATATATGGTTTTTAGTTTTTAATATTGTGTTTTTAATTATGTAAGCTGCCTTGAGTCTTTTTTTTTTTTAGGAGAAAGGTATGGTCAAAATATTTTAAATAAATAAAAATAAATAAATAAATGGTTGTTGTGGGTTCTTCGGGCTCTTTGGCCTTGTTCTGAAGGTTGTTCTTCCTAACGTTTCGCCAGTCTCTGTGGCTGGCATCTTCAGAGGTCAGCACTCTGTGCTCTGGTGTAGTTGGCTTTGGGAGTGCAGTATTTATGGCTGTGAGATAGGCCTTTGTCCACTGCAGGAGTATACCGGATACCTTGCAGCTGTGGCCAGGTATATATTGGAACCACAAAATGAAGCATCCACACCAGAATCAAAGAACATGAGAGACACTGCAGACTAAAACAATCGGAAAAATCAGCAGTAGCTGAACATGCCCTGAAACAAACTGTACATGAAATTCTATTCCAAAATACTGAACAACACCAGCAATCATTACGTCAGACTGCACAGGGAAGCCACTGAAATCCACAAGCACCAGCAAAACTTCAACAGAAAAGAGGAAAGTGTGAAGCTCAACAAAACTTGGCTCCCAGCTCTCAAAAATACAGCGTGCAAAAGGTCAACGACCTCTCCCCAGCCACAAGGACAGGGGATCACTACACACAAAAAACCAGCTAATGACACCCATCAACCACAGTGGCAGATAATCTCTTCTCCTTAG